GACCGAGTGAGACTCCGACTCAAAAAAAAAAAAAAAGAATCCAGACTGGGGATTGGAGTGTCCCAGGGCCCAGAAGCCCCTTACACACTCACTGGGGAGCTCTTGAACAGTTCATACTTGGCGAAGTTTTTCCGGAAGACAAAGCGGCTGTCTCCGCCCACGGGCCAGGCGGCCTGCACTTCCACCACAGACTCATGGTCCTCCAGACCCCGCTCTGTGGTCAAGAGCAAAACGCAGGGGTAAGTGGAAACAATCAGACGTCCCAGATGAGCCATGGGTCTAGCCCAAGATGTGAGGCACCGCTTCCTGGCTCGGGCAGCCCCCTGCACCCCGACTCACCCAGTGCCAGGTGGGGGTGGCACTCCACCAGCCCCCAGGTCTCGTCACTCAGGGCATGGGTTCGCTGCACCAGCATTTCGCACACGTGACGAGCCGTGGCACCCGCCGCCACCTCCACAGACCTGCACGCCCCATCCTCACTGTACACCTTTATTACCTGCGCCCCAGGAGTTAACTTGAGGGAGGGCCAAGTGTGACTCTCCTTCCCCACCCGCTGGGCCCTCAGGGACACCTCACCAGGTTCACTCCTCCCTGCCCCCCGCCTCCACGGAGACAGTGCTGTATCTACCCCAAAACCCAGAGTACCCCTTCATCCCTTCCCTCCCTTTTGAGGAACAACTCACGTGGGGGCGGCTGGCATCCCGAGACAGCAGGCCCCTTGCACCAGAGGAGCCCCCAAGAATGGGGGTCTGTGAGGGTGGACTGCAGAGCTCAGGAAAGGGGTTGGGGATGGAGGGTAGAGAGGCTGCCCGCAGTTCCTCCTCTCGAAGTTTCCTACGTTGAGGGGAGAGAAATGGGGGAGGGGAGGATATATGGGCCACAAAATATTACCCAGCACTGACCGCCCCCAGCCCCTCACCAGCCCCATCACGCCACTGTACCTGCTGGTCGGAATGGGCAGAGGCTGGGACCGCGTCACCTCCCCAGGCAGAGGGGCCGTGGGGAGTGGGGGAGTCCCAGGAGGGGTCCCAGGGGTTGGGCACAGGTCTTCTGGGGAGCTGCTGAGATGAGGCGGAGACAGATCCAACTCCATGACATCTGACGGAGAAGACGGGGTGAAGGAGCCATCTGTGGGCCTTTGTGCTGGGGAGAAGGGCAGCGAGAACCCCGACTCCCAAGCCACACACAGCCATTGGGGGGCTCCTCAGAGTTCACATAGCACCTCACTGCTCCCCTCTAAATGGAGTTTCCCTGGAGCCCCTGGGAAAGGACAGAATGAGCCCCTGAGAAGAAGCATTCTGGCCCCCAATAACAGGGAGTCAGGGAGTAGAACCTGGTGTTTGGACTCCAAATTCAGTGCTCTTTTTTTGGGGGGGGTTGGAGTCTCACTCTGTCACTCAGGCTGGAGTGCAGTGGCACGTTCATGACCACCACAGCCTTGGCCTGCTGGCTCAGGTGATCCTTCCACCCTTCAGCCTTCCAAGTAGCTGGAACCACAGGCATGTGCCACCATGCCCAGTTGATTTTTTGATTTATTGTAGAAACGAGGTCTCACCATGTTGCCCAAGCTGGTCTCAAACCCGTGGGCTCAGGCAGTCTTTTCGCCTCTGCCTCCCAAAGTGCTAGGATTATAGGCATGAGCCACTGTGCCTGGCCCAGGGCTCTTTCTTTAATCCAGAGTTGCTCAAGGGAAGATCTAAGAGCTTGTGTCTTCCTGGCCACAAACCCGGCAATAGCTACAGATTCAGGGAGAGCTGGGCTCGGCTCTCAGTGTCAGGGCAAAGGGCCACCCTCTGTCTCCAAGAATGGGGCACTCACTCCGCTGGGTCCTGCCCCGGGTTTTTCCAGCACTTTGTTGCCAGAGCCTGTTTTGGCAACGCCTGCCCAAGTGATGAGAGATACCCAGAAGGGGAGAAGGAGGTGGAGAGGTCAGGAACCATGAGGGCAGGAGGGCAGGCTCGGCAGCAGCGGGAGGGGAAGGGCTAACCTGGAGCCCCTTGCCCCAGCAACCCCCAAACCTTGTGTACCCTCCCCAGGCCATCCTCCCACCCAACTATTTTCTGAAGCCCAATGCTAGAGCCACCTCCTCTCAGAAGCCTTCCTGGATTTTCCACATTCAAAAACCCTCTGAGCACTGTGCTGGGGTCTCAGCACCAATAACTGTGCACTTATCTACCCACCCATCTGAGGGTATCTGGCACCCCCAGGCAGGGCCAGTCTTAGCCATGTCTTATCACCCACAGGGACAAGTAGGGAGAGGAGAGACAGGGCAAAGATGCCCACTTGGGGTAGAGGCCGCACTGGCCCCTCCTCACAGGAACCAATCAGACCCCTGTGGCTGGGCTAAGACCCGGGAGAAACAAGAAGAACTTGCCAATCCCAGCCCCCAGCTTGTTCTCCTGACACTGGACCCAGCACTATGAGGCCACTGGGCACCTGGGATTGATCCCCCAGGGTAGAGCAGGTACCCGATCCTTTAGTGAGGGCACGATCCTTTAGTGAGGGCACGAGGGGATTTGGGGGACAGGTGAGTCAAGGTGGGGCGGGACAGCACTGCCTGGGGCTCTCCATTCAACCTTGACTCATCTGCACAACTTCCTGGCAGAGGAGAAACACAAACAACCCTGCCCCTGCCTGCCACCCCTCCCCACTCCCCAACCTACGGGCGGCCTGGGAGGAGGAGGAGGAGGAGGCCAGGCCTGAGGCTCCTCTGACATCATCTCCTCCTCCCCACCCTTGGCCTGCCTCCAGTCCAGGTGGGACCTGCACTCGGTCCACCCCCAGTCCCCAGCCACCACCCAGCCAGGGAGCCCCCTCACAAAGGAGGGAGAGGACATACCTGTCCTAGATTCAGAGGCCCCTCTGGAGTGAAGCCCACCTCCCGGTGTGCCCCTCCCACCCCCTCCAAGCAGTGCTCAGCGCTCCCTAGCCTGTGTCTGGGGCCTACCAGGCTCTCATTCTGCCCTGAGCCCCGGCCGGCATCCGGCCCAGGGAACTTGTCCGCCTCACCGGGGGAATAAGGTTCCTCGTGACAGGCCCTCCTGGGTGTCCTGCCAGAGGGGTACCCCAAGAGGACTAAAAAGTCAAGACACTTCAGAGGACAAAAAGACAGGGCCAGGGGCCAGGGAAGGGGCCCAGTGTCCAGCTAGAAAGGACAAGCAACACCTGCAATCCAACAGTAACAGACTCCAGGACGTCAACACCACAATACACTGCCTGCCGCCGCTCTCAACCCGTCTACCCTCTGGCAAACAGCCCAGGTGACTTCATTCCAGGGAGGACCGGGGGAGGGGCCGCAGGGGCCACACCTTCCTGGAAGCCCCAGACCCACAGCCAGAGACTCACAACGGGTGGTGGGGGGAGGGATGGAGACTCCAGGAAGGAGCGTTTGGAAGTGGGGGAGGTGTGGATTCAAATCAGAATCTGGCCTCAGAGGTCAAAGAGTCCACACTAGACTGAGGTTGGGTCTTCAGATCCCTCCCAGTGTCCTTCAGACCCTTTCTAAGGCGAGAGGGGGGTCGGCCAGTCAAGACCAAGGGGATGGGGGGTAGGGAGACAAGGGTCCGGGTTGGGGCCTGTGCAGCTCCCTCCTTCAGAGAGATCAGAGGCTTTCAAACGGGGGCCCCAGAACTCATCTGTTGGAGACACCGACCCACAACCAATGTGTCCCCTCAACGCCACAACTCAGGCCGTTGCGGCCTGAGCTATCCCAGCTGCCTCCCAGCCCCAGGACCAGCCCCACCCTCGCTCTGGCCTCCCGGCCTCCTTGTTTACTTCCTGAATCTCGCCCCACCTGGCTGGCCCCAGGGGCAGGTGGCTGGCTTCCCCGGGCTTGGGGGAGGGGCTGGCCCAAGGGAGGCCTGGGCTGGGGGCCCGAATATGGCAGGAGAATCCCCCCATCTGGCCCAGAACTCCACGCCCCGCCCCCAACGGGATTTACAGTAGTGAGAGAGGCTTCACCTTTGCCAGAGCTCTTAGGGTGAGGGGCCCAGGTGAGAAACCCCTGATGAGATGACTGGAAGTTGAGGGGAGGACCGGCGGCCTCTCCGCCGACGTGGGGGGCAGCAGAAGAGGACTCCCTAAATCGCTGGACCCCCACCTCTCCAGATAATAATCCTTGCCCACTCCCTCAGTCAGGAAAAAACACCCAATGGAATGGGGGTCAGCTCTTTTGAAGTTTAATTTAGGAAGAATGCTAGAGTGTGGGGTTAATCATTACAGGCTGCCTGCCTTCACGGAGGTTCCTCCCGGACACGTACACAGAGGGATATTAGGAGAGGGGGGAGCAGAGTCCAAGATAAACAGACCAAGAGGGGGCATTCCTGGGGGGGCAGCGCGGAGGGAGGCTTGAACCTAGCCGGCAGGTGCATTCTCCATCCCCAACGTGCCAGGGGGACCCAGACACGGAACCTGGGTCTTTCCCCAGCCTCATCAAACACACAAGACATCAACACCCCCCCCAGGCCCCACTGCACTGCAGACCCCCGCCCCCACCCCTCTAGCCTTGCCCGCCCACTTCAAGGTCCACCCGCCCCCACCTCTCCATCCCAGCGCAGGACGCTGCGTTCCCGAGCAAGGATTATAATCTGGAGAGGTGGGGGTCCAGCGATTTAGGGAGTCCTCTTCTGCTGCCCCCTACGTCGGCGGAGAGGCCTGTTTTAGGGGAGCCCGGGGAGACCCACACCGGGGCTAGGCGGACCGAGGAGAGGGAGGGCAGCTCCCGCGCGCCGGGACACCCCGCTGGCCCTTTCTGGGTGTGCGGGGAGGGGCCAGTTTCAGCGGGAAAGCCAAGTCTCCCCGAGGAGAGTCGGGCTCGCCTCTCAGTCTCGGCGACCCGCCTGGGGGA